TTTAGAAATTTAAATAATAATAATAATAAATAAGCTGAAGCTATTTTATGTTCGTTTACCATTATTAAAATCACTTATTTAAAAGAAAAAATAATAATTTCACGAAAAATTATTCAAAATAGTTTCTGATTTTAATAAGATTTTAGGTTTTGTCTAACTCTTTAAAAAAAGGTCAAAACAAACACAAAAATCTAAAAAAAAATGATTCTTTACGAAGGAAAAAGTTATAACAAGTGAGACTTATATAGTGCTGATTTTTATGTTTGAATAATAAATTATAACAAAAAAATTGTTTTTATATATAAGAAAAACAATGAACCTAATTAAAGAGCCTGTGTATACTATTCTAAGCTTTTATCATTAAACCATTCTAGTAGCTAGTTATAACAACAACTCTGATTTATTGTGCGTAATAAAGTTTATTTTTTTGAAGTTTTATTTTCTCTTTTTATGAGAAGCAATCTTACATATGGAATTTTTAAGGTACTAGTATGATAAAATGAGGTTTTTTTAGTAGAAATATTTTCTTATATAAAACTTGAACTAAAATTTTTATTTAAAGATAATTAAGTATATATTAGTTAATAGTTTATTTACTTCATAAGGATGGTGTTTTAGTTAATTTTAATAATATTTCTTCTGGAATTCTTGAAATAAAAAAGGTTTAATCCTACTTATATTTTTTTTTAACACCATTCAATTACTTATTAATATATATTATAAAAATAAGTGTGGCTAAAGTATCAATTACATGCAAAGTTAAGTATGACAAAAAAAATTGCAAACTTGGGCTATAATATGTAACTAATTAATAATAACAATACTATATCGAATTATGGAGAACAGTTTATAAGTTGATAATATAGAGATTTTGTAGACCGAACATCCAATCAAAATGTGCATGTACAATAAACTTAACAATTTCTATTAAAAAAAATACTTAGGTTAAAAATTATTAAAAAAACATAAATTTGGTAAATATTACACCATATTTAAAAATTCTTTCTTTTAATTTTGTAGTATTTAATAAATTCTAACTAATGAGTTAGTGTGTTAAAAAAGTGTATTAAAAAATATGTTGTTACTTATTACTCCTCTTATATGATAATACTTATAATAATGTTACAAGTATCCCTCGTCATTATTATTATCATAACTATTATTATTGTTGATATTATTATAAACATTATTAATTAATTATTGTTGTTGTGATCACTGTCACATTAAAATAATTAAAATGAATCATAATAAGATAATTAATGTTAAAAAATAATGCAATAAATTTTACTTATTTTGCTTAGTGTTGATCAAATAATACATATGATAAAAAGTTTTGTCGACAATATAAATATTTGTCTTGTGTCGTTTTTTATCTTGTTTTACATCACCAATTACACTTATAATGTTGTTAAGTAAATAATTAAAAAGACATAAGAAGAAAAAACATTTTTGGTCGTAATTTTTGTATTCATGGTCCAAGTGTATAGAAGGAATGAATGGGAAATTAAAGTGACTAGTCAAAGAATAAAGGTTGTGTGCAGAAGAGTCCGCAAAGAAGGAAGGCATTGTGATAACAAAATGGCAAGTTGTGATGTGAATGAAAGTAACGTTTGCACTTTCACATGCCATAAGACATATGAATATGATCAGAGATAGGAAGGCCCATAATTATCATCCTCCTCACCAAACTTATGTTTAGCCTTAAACATCCCTTTTCTACAAACAACCATGCACTTATCCTTATTATTAGTTGTTTATCACTTCATTCTATCCTTACCATAGATGAAATGTTTTAAATGAGAGAGAAACAAGAATAATAACCTTTACAACCTTTATATTATAGGTTTTATTTATTCATTAAAAAATATTTTACTAGACATAACAAATATAATGATTTCATATTTAATATACAAAAAAGTCATGAAATTAGATAATAAATATAAAAAATATGATAAAACTTTTTTTTTGTTACATAATAAATATTGAGACAATATTTTGTTCCAATTACAAAAACATTCACTACCATAATTGTAACACCCCGAATTTTCTACTAATAGGCTATTAATTATTATTTATTTTTATATTTATGAAGATTATTATTTTAGTTAATTAAAAGGGGCTTTACAGAATATTTTAAAGGTTTGTAATAATTTAAATTATTTATAAATAAAAAATTAATTCTGATTTTTTTTAGGCCCAGAACGGCCTGTTCCGAAAAGCGGAACGAGCTGTTCCCAAAAAGCGGAACGGGCGTTCCAAAAAGTGGAACGGGCCGTTCCAAGATAATAAAATGACCTGAAAATATTAGTTGGAAATGGGCCGTTCCAAGTATGGTCAATGCGGGTTAAAATCAACCCCAGAACGGGGCGTTTTGGTTTAAGAGCGGACCGTTTTGGTGTTGAGAACGGGCCGTTCCATTTATGATTAATCTATGTTAAAAACAACTCTAGAACAGGTTGTTCTAATTTTAGAACGGGTCGTTCTGCTTTTTGAAAACGGGTCATTCTAATTTTACGTATATTTGTAGGCTCCGGAACGGGCCGTTCCGAAATCAATACGGGCCGTTCCGGGTGCGCCAGGATGCCTATAAATAGGGGCATAGGGGGTGAAAATTTTATAACTTAGTGAGAAGGTGAAAATCTTAGAGAGAGAGAGAGAGAAAGAAAGAAAGAGGGAATTCAAATGAGGAGGTTCTGCTTAAATTTTAGCTCCTACTTATCTAGGTAAGGGGGAGGAGAACCTTATCTCTTTTAAATTTTATATACTATTATGTATATTTATTTATGTTACATTTTATGTATATTTATTTAGTGAGGTGTCCCTAACCTCATTTATTCGCTCAACTTATGATTATTTTTATCCATAATAATTATTAAGATGTTCATATTTTATATTGTTTAATTATTTTATAATGATCGTCATATTTATTTATATCATTGGTACTCTTAATATATTCTTTTTATGTAAATATATTTATTGTAAATATATTTGTAATCAACTATGATATAGTTGTGAAATCTTTGACTCGTCTTGTTGTTATTTCTTCACATATTTATGAAGATAAATATTGTTCTATGGCCATAGAAAATAAAGTTTGAATTATTTGTAGTTGGAAGTTTGACCTTGGGGATTTAAATGAGTAAGGAATGAAGGTGAAATATCCTATTGTTGGTTAAGGTGAAATATCATTTTGTTGGTTGGTGTTATGATGATGCTCATTTATCCTGACTAGTCACTACAAGTATAATTTAAATTTTATTGTATCATGAAAATTTAATATATGATCTGTATATATATTTATATATATATATATATATATATGTTTAATATTGATTATAAATAATTCTGTTTATTCTTTTGAGTTATTGTATTTATTGGATATTGTTCTTACTCCTCTCTTTTCCTTGTTTTTCTTTTTAAATTAAATATATTATAAAATAGATGGATCTACTTGAGATTCCAGAGCATTTTGCAGTGATTATTGCTGTTGTTTTCCTTGGAAGAAATTGGAATGTAGAGACTATTTGATGGATCTATTTTATTTCAGTTGTAAATTTATTTTCATTATCAATGTAAATATTGTAATAGAAGTGGAAGAAAGAAATAATGTGTAAAATAGTACATTATTGTAAATATTATTTGTAAAAATATTATTATCACGTATAATATTATTAATAATACACTTTTAATTTTTGAATATATATATATATATATATATATATATACACGTATAATATTGAAAATTATAAAACGGGCGTTACAATAATATTGCATTAATACCACCTTGTTTCTTATCATCTTCACTCAACATCACCATTATTATTGTCTATCACTTATATCATTTACTACTAGTGTTATTGCAACTCATCACCTTTGTTGTTGTCACTCATCACCACCTTGATCATATTATTATTGTTATTGTTATCATCGCCTTGTTACTATAACCAATGATCAACATTGTCGTTCTCCTTATTAAGATAATAATAATTATTTATGGTAATTAATAAAAATAATATTATAATAGATTATAATTATTTTGTTTATACCATCTATTATTCATTACACAAAAATTATCAAATAGTTTCTCATTTGTTCTATGTTATTGTCTTATTTTTATACTTGATATATATTAAACGCATCTTAAAATTAATAATTTAGATTAAAAAATTATTAAAAAAAATCATATACCATTATCATTGTAATTATTTTTATAATTATCAATATTATTATCATTATCTTAATTATTTTTATCATCATTATTATTACTTTTATTATTATTATTATCATCACTACTATTATTATTATCGCGATGATTATTACTATTCATACTATTTTAGTCATTTGTGTTTGTAATTTCTAAAATTATATTTATGGGTAAGTATTTTTTAATGATATACTTGAGCAATTATTTATCAAATTGAAAGAAATTGTTTGAATCATGGGAGTTTATGTTTATATAGAAAGAAATAGCAGAAGAAGTAGCATTAAACAATAACGAACAACGATGGCATGATTACGGCATTGGTGTTGTGTATGTGAAATGAAAGAAGAGAGGTGACGCCACCGTGGACGCAAGCAAGCCCCAGCTGGGGACGCTGACGCCATCTCTGACGTCATCCAAACCACTTCATCTCTCTATGCCCTCCCCTACACCAACATTACTCTCTCTCTCTCTTTCTTTGACAACGAAATACGAAACTTCGAGGATGCTGTGTCCTTCACCTTCACAGCCCCGTCACGTTATCACCGCTCCTCCATCTCCGATTCATTTCTTTCCTTCCGAACCTTCCTCGTTTTTCATCCTTTGACTTCCAAAACTCTTCCACCCGTGATTCATTCTCTCTCTCTACCGTCAAAGTTCCAACCTTTTTTTGATTTCGATGGATCTGATGCCAGTTTCGTTTTGTGGGGTGCCGCTGTTCCTTGCTTCCTTTTCTCGGATATTACTGTAATAGCAAGTTTTTTTTTTTTTTTTTTTTTTTTTTTTTTTTTTTAATGTTATAGTCAAGGTTCTTTTTCTGGGGGGTGGGGTTTGGTTGTGCTGTTTTGGTGGTTTTGGAAGTTTGACACTAGGGGGTTATTGCTTATTAGATCCTTTTGCACTTTCTCTGTGCTCAAATTTTGCAGACACATCAAATATTTGTGTTTATTCGGTGGCTATTGAAATAGAGGAAGCCTCTTTAGCCTATGTTTTTTATGTTACGGAATCTTGTGACGGGTTGGATCAGATGTCACGTGTCTTGTGAATTGTGACGCCAGATTTTCTTAGTTAGCACTTATACACAGATCAGTGTTTATGGTATACCCGCCATCTATAGTTTCTTTTTTTATAGGTTGCTATTGTTTTTAGCTCTGTGCTGGGAAATTCAAAGTTTGTTTAGTGACATATCATTTGATAAACGGTTTTGGGACTCTATCTTTGAGGTGTGAGGTCTTTTGATATCATCAGAGGATATGTTATTATAGGTTCAGTAGGTTCTCAAGTTGTTGATAAATAAAATGGCTCTTTCAGCCGAACCGTCATCGTCTTTGAGCTTTACATCATCTTCCCATTTATCAAATGGCTCGGTTAGTCACAACATAAGCTCTCCTTATGGCTCTGATGCTGGACCTAACCTTGAGGTTATCAGTTTGAGTAAGCTTAGCTCCAATTTGGAGCAGCTTTTGATTGAGTCTGATTGTGATTATAGTGATGCTGACATCGTTGTGGAAGGTGTTCCGGTTAGTGTTCATCGATGTATTCTGGCCTCCAGGAGTAAGTTTTTTCATGAATTGTTCAAGAGGGAGAAGGGGTCATCAGAAAAAGAAGGGAAATTGAAGTATTGTATGAGTGATTTGTTGCCTTATGGCAAGGTTGGATATGAAGCATTCCTCATATTCCTGGGCTATGTATATACTGGTAAACTGAAGCCCTCTCCAATGGAGGTGTCTACATGTGTTGACAATGTGTGTGCCCATGATGCTTGTAGACCTGCAATTAACTTTGCTGTGGAGTTGATGTATGCCTCTTCCATTTTTCAAATACCAGAGTTGGTATCACTTTTCCAGGTAAACATTCTATGCATGATGATTGATGACATTAAAAGGCTTCCACTTAACATGTTTCATTTACCTAAATGATCAGCCATTGTAATAATCTTTTGATAAAATTTGAATCCACCAAACTTATGTACCTTAGCAAGTGCTAGTGCTCAAATGTAAGTTTTCTCGAACGAAATTATCTTTTTAAATTATTGAATACATGGAATTTTTATGCTGATGCTTGGGAAATTACTTGCAAATTAATTTCTCATCTAAATCACTAGAAATATTGTGTCTGGTCTAGCTTAAGGAAAGGATCAAGGAACTAATTAATATAAATTTTGCAGCGACGTCTACTTAACTTTGTTGGAAAGGCTCTAGTGGAAGATGTCATCCCAATCCTCACCGTTGCTTTCCATTGTCAACTGAGTCACCTTGCCACTCAATGTATTGACAGGGTGGCCAGATCAGACCTTGACCAGATTTCAATTGAAAAAGAACTTCCTCATGAACTCTCACAAAAAGTTAAATTGCTCCGCCGCAAACCTCAGCAAGAAGTTGAAAATGATGCTTCTGCAGCAGATGCTTTGTCTCTAAAACGAATCACTAGAATACACAAGGCATTGGACTCAGATGATGTTGAGCTTGTTAAACTTCTTTTGAATGAGTCGGACATTACTTTAGATGAGGCCAGTGCACTCCATTATGCTGCAGCCTACTGTGACCCCAAGGTTGTTTCTGAGGTGCTTGGTTTGGGTCTGGCTAATGTCAATCTTCGAAATTCTCGGGGGTACACAGTGCTTCACATGGCTGCCATGCGTAAAGAGCCTTCCATTATAGTATCCCTGCTTACAAAAGGGGCTTGTGCATCAGATTTGACTTTTGATGGTCAGAGTGCTGTTAGTATTTGTAGGAGATTGACAAGGCCAAAGGATTACCATGTAAAAACAGAACAGGGGAAAGAAACGAATAAAGATCGGATATGCATCGATGTTCTTGAAAGAGAAATGCGGAGGAATCCATTGGCGGGGGATGCTTCTATGTCTTCTCATACCATGGCTGATGATCTCCACATGAAGCTACTATACCTAGAGAACAGAGGTATCTGTCATGCATGATATCTATTTCTTCTTGCTTGTGTAATAAATTGTCATCATGGTTCCAGCCTATGTTTTAAAATGCTTTGTTTTAAGAATTTCCCTAACTTGTGTCACTTCATACAGGAAATAATAATGATATTGTGGCTCATAGTTACATTCTTTTTTTCCTCTCTCTCTCTCTCTCTCTCTCTCTCTATATATATATATATATATATTCCCCCTCTAGACTTGTTGATAATCAAGAAGTTTACTTTTCCTTTTGGAGGAAAATTGTTTGTGCAAAACACCACCTGAAAGGTCCATGTTATGAATTTTGGGGAATATGTCCTTTACTCTTTGTGTGATATTGGACTCAGGACGGACCAGTTGAGCTACTAGCTTTATTGATTTTTACTGTTTAACGTTTTGTGTTGCAAACTCTATGTAATGTGATGCAGGACTGGTAGACTTTAGACAATTCAATGAGATGTTGGGCTGACTTTATGTATTGTAATTTGAGTTGAAATTTAGAAATGGAAAGATTTTCAGGTTACTTGTAATATATCCAAAAAAAGGTTTAGGGTCCTAATGTTTCTGTTTTGGATTTTGAAATAAGGAGTTCTTTGTAATTCTTTGGAAGATGGATTAAGACTAGAAACAAAATGTTGGCATGTATAAGAAATGCTAGTATTAGATGAATATTATTTATAGCCTTAAATAGGCTATGTTGATTACATGAATGAATTTTTTTGCAATAGGCGAGCCATTATTTGTATTGTATCTGATGCTAATTAAGTGTGGTTTATGTGTGCTGAATCAGGCTGAGTGATGTAGTTTCTTAAACTATTTGTTTTTTTATCTGTAGCTAATGTCATTGAGGGATGGTAATGTTGACATGGATATTTTCTTTATTCCAGCTTTAAGGCAAGCACTGTTTAAGAGGAAAAGTTTGATAAGTTTTAAAAGCAGAAGCTCTGAGACCACCTATGGCTGAATAATTGAGGAGCCAGTGTTTATCAAAATCTTTTGTGTTTGAGAGCTTTCTTGTTTGTTGTCGATTATTTAACTCTCTCAAGAGATTTGATGTGTGGCTCGTTTGAGAATGCTGTTCAACTGGTTCACTGTGTTTATGCAATATTTTGTTCAGACCATCTAATAGTAAATATTGCTGTTACTGCAGTGGCATTTGCAAGACTTTTCTTCCCTTCAGAAGCCAAATTAGCAATGGACATTGCACATGCTGAGACAACATCCGAGTTTGCTGGTCTTTCTGCATCTAAAGGTTCAAATGGCAACTTAAGGGAGGTTGATCTCAATGAGACTCCCATTGTACAAAACAAAAGACTTCTTTCTAGGATGGAAGCCCTCATGAAAACTGGTAATTTTGGTCTTTATTAATGTTAAATTTTAACTTCCTGTAACCATTTGTTGTAATTAAGCAGCTTTTTTTTTCTTCTTCAATATACCCTTGGTGTCAATTCAAGTCAAAATTTGTTTTAGTAATGATGCTCTTAACATGTCTGTTGGTCATTCAAATCCTAGCCAGTTTGTGTAGGACATCATTTTTATTTCATGCATGCTCTCTATTTATGGTTTGTGCTGTTGTGAATACTCATATTTTTGTTGAAAATAAATTGTTCCTATTTAATAATATATTTTTTCAATTAAGAAGAATCTAGTGGCTTATATTTGGGCATTTTAATCAAGTGCAGATTTTTGGTTGTTTATTTGGATATGAGTTAGGGTACACGTTAAAATTGGTTTTAATCAAGTACAGATTTCTGGGGATGCAAAATTTCCTGTTGAACATAGCTCACCGACATCTACAATACTCTTGACTAATTTCAACCTTTTCTATGCGGTGATGGACTATAAAATTTTTTAAATAAGTAAATTAAATTGTATTTTGCCTTCAATTTTGATAACACATCCATAGAATACCTGTTAGTAACATGGGAAGTTGTATACTTGTATCCCACTCTCTGCAACATGCACGCAAGTGAAGCACAAATTCATGCATGTAAACGTATCTGGACTATTGAGCTCGTGTAGCGTAAAAAGTAAGTGCTAAGTATATTTAATTTGAAAGTAAGCACATAGGATTTGAAAATTTTCTAAGATTCATTTTCTCCATTCTATCCGCATTTATCCCTTTTCTTCTCTATTTTTACCCTTTTCTGTCTTGCCTTCCTCAATTTCTTCCCCCTTCCCTTTCACCCTTAGCCATTACACATTACTGCTAAGCTTTTAATTCTTCAATTTCTCCCGTAAATTGGAATCTCGTTATCACTTTTTAACCTCATACACCTATAAAATTTTACTGTTCTTGAAGAGAACTAAAAAATGTATAAGGGCTATTTAACATGGGAAACTACCAATGAGTAAACTACTTTGCTTGAACCTGGGTTTATGGAAACTGGTTATAGGGACAGGTTTTAAGAACTAAACAAGCTTAGAACCTGTTTAGATACAAGCATAAAAGAGCCATTGAGAGCTTCTTTATTTAAAATAAAGTTTTTTCATATAGATAAACTTTCAAAAGTTTTTCTAAACTTGTATTCAAATAGATTCGTATTCTAACTTGGATCCACATATCATGCAGTCTGCATTTTCATGCACAAATTAATTCAGTAAATCATCACCATTTAACTACAATTGGATGACACAAATTAATTCAGTAAATCAGACTTAAAACATGCATGCAAGATCTAAGTCGTCTGATCTTCATCCAACGGTTGCATTTTCTGACAGCTTGAATGTGTAAAATATCCAACTGGACCAACTCAGGTTGCCTTAACTCTGGCCATGCATCTTCATGTTAGGACACCTTTCAAAGATACAAAACCTTTATTTGTTGCTTCTTTCCTCTAGCTACATGTCTAAATGTTTATAAATACAGTTCTGATTCTGACACCAACTATGTTCTATGTTGTGGTGGCGACAGTGGAGATGGGGCGGCGATACTTCCCGCTCTGCTCGGAAGTGCTGGACAAGTTCATGGAAGATGACCTGCCTGACTTGTTCTACCTGGAAAAGGGGACTCAAGAAGAGCAGAGAATCAAAAGGGCACGTTTCATGGAGCTTAAAGATGATGTCCACAAGGCTTTCAGCAAGGACAAGGCCGATTTTAGCCGCTCAGGGATTTCATCTTCGTCATCCTCATCATCCCTCAGAGACTCTGTTGTACATTACAAGGCTAGGAAAGTGCAACAATAAAAGCATGCATACATAGCGTTTTTGTTTTTGACATACGTACGTATTATATATATATAGTGCAAATTTTAAAGGTGATGCTCACCAACTCATCTGTAAAATTGTGAAAGCAGCATCAGGAAAGGTGATGTCTTACCATCTTGTGTAATCAGTATGCGCAATATTTTGGAAATAATTTTATATGCTTTTTGGTGATGAATTTAGGGTAAGTGATTTTGAACAGAAATAAAATATATAAGTTCTACCTTTAATTCTAATGCTGTATACTGGTATAGCATAACTGGTAAATAATTGAATTCTTTAAGTATGTTAACAAAAATTTAATTTTTTTGGCTGAGTATAACTTTTTTAACCGAATTCTTTAAATAATTTAGTTTGATTAAGGTTGACTAACAAAAGTTTGATTGTGTATTCAAATAATTTTGAGTCTAAAATAAAAGTAACAATGCCAAGAATTTTTATACGACCTTAATTGGTTTTTTTGTCTTTTAAAATGTTTTTGACTTTTTTTTTCTTTAGTTTTTACACTAATAATATTAATTTAAATTAACATAATCCATAGGGATGGTAAAAATACCCGCACCTGCAGGTATTTGCGGGTAAAATCTACTACGGATAATAAATGGATAGGCTAATTGGGTACTCGCAGATAATGGGGATGAATAATTTTTTATCCGTTTATAAATGGGGCGGGGGCGGGTATGATGATATCCATACTCGCGGGTATCTGTTTAATAATATTTCTTAAATATCATAATTATTCTTGTACCACATAACCTTAAAATTATACTTTCTCTTCTTATTTTCTTACAAAAGTGAGGTTGATAAAGTTACCAACATGTGTTAAGCATGTTATAGAATTATGTTGGATGTAATTTGATTAATTTTCTAGCTTTGATTGAACCAATAAATTTTGATGTATTTTAAGTTGTTTACTTTCATTTGAAATTATGAGATTAAATTATTGTAGCTTTGTGATGAGACTTTAACTTACTTGTGAGATTGATGTATTTTAAATTATTAATTATCTTGCATTTTTATTATTATTTCAACAAAATTAACATTAAATACAAGTTCAAAATTAACATTAATTTTTTATTTTTTAATATTTCAATAATATTAAATATAAACTTAAAATTATTTATAATTAATTTTTTAAATTTCTTACAAAATTTATAAATATCCATGGATATCCACTGATATTCTTGAGTATTCAACAAATTCATGGATACCCGCTTAATGGATACCCGCACAGATATAGGGTGGGTACGTGGCTAATTTTTATCTAACGGGACGGAGGCGGGTTTACTATTACCCACCCCATGAGGCTCCATTGCCATCCCTAATAATCCATACTTGTATAAATGTAAGAATCACTAGAATTGGTAGTGATTTCGTCTTATAGTAGAGGTCAGAATAGTATAAATATGAATTTGAATCATATTGAAATTGTAACTTTGATCGATAAAAGAAGATATAATGTAATGTAACATTTGTTACGGTTTATCACATGTGACATGTGATGAAATTGATCAAGGAAGGGTCAATTTGATTGCTATAAGAAGTCACGTTTTAGTTGTTTGAAGTGATTTTTTTAGTAATATAATATTTACAAGAGTCTATAAATTTTGTCAAAAATTATTATTCAAAACTTTAATTGCATTAAGACTTAAAATCATGATTGTGGGAGAGGATGGGAAATACCAGAATGGTAGAATATCAATATAACCCACTTCTCCATCAATTATAAAATATAACACTGAATCATGATTTTTTCCAATTGCTTTGGTTGAATGCCTCATGCCAGATGTCAGTCATTGATTTTAGTCAAGTTTTTTATATATTTTATTTTATATTTTTTTATAATGACAACCTTGGTGCTAATCTGATAAAAAAAATTGATTTAATAAATCATAGGCCTACCAGATTATATTCATTGCAACTCTTGTCACATACCCATGTTAAAATGTAAAAGTATTGTCTTCATGCTATAATTCTCTCATGAATCATAATTGATAATAGAAAAAGTTATTTATTATTTCTTCAAATAGCAATTTTAAGACTTTTATTGACAATATCTTTATTTTATATATACTCTCACACATCACGTGGTTAAACAATTTAATATTTATAAATGTATACTAGATTTTTAACATTAATTTAAGTTTTAATTTAGACATTATATTTAACATCAATTTAAAACCTACAAGTAAAGTTAATAATGTATCTAAATATAATTCATGTTAAACTTTTAATTTAATGATTGATTGATTTGTCTATTTGATAAAAAGATGAACTTCTAACAAATGAATCGTTAAATAAATGAATTATTATTACATATCTATAATGTTGTTGTTTGTATAGGTAATATTGCTCTTATGTTTATTTTTTTTAATTTTGTACTTACATTTATCGATCTGTCATATCTATATTCTTTTGTTGAAAAGTGAATGCTCTAGAGTATGAATATTTTATTTGAACTCAAATTATCTCATAATTTTTCTAATTAATTAAAAAAATACTTTTAGTCCATTTTTTTTAAAACAATACTTATCTATATAAATGTTAACAAGAATAATCAAATCTAATAACTCTTATCAAAATTGTTAGGTTCCTTCAATTGACTAATTCATAGTTTTGTCCCAATTCTATTTATTGATTAATAAAAAAATGTTTAAATCATCACACTTCGTCAACAAGAAGCATAAAACAAGTTTCTAAAAATTTACTTGCATCGGTTTGATAAGGAATAAGATGGTATGAAAAGATTATGAAGACGTTCTCAATATGATTACTAATTTTTTTTATTTTTAATCACATTAATTAAGGTTATCAAAATTGAGTTATTTTACTATTTCTTAAGTTAATAGTCATCTCTTGTATAACGAACTGCTATCTTATATAAAAGCATTTTTAGGAGTTCTTTTTTAAGAGAGGATTTTGATGACTTCTAATTTTTTTATCTAATTTAATTTTTTGTTTATTATAATTATTTGTGTATTAAATTTTAATATTTTAAAATAATTTATTAATAAAAAATAATTTAATATAAATAATTTATTATAAATTTAAAATATAATTTATATATTTAAACATAATATTTATTTGTATATATAAATTTAAGTATAACTTATATTTTGAAACATAATATTTATTTGTATATATAATTTATTATAAATTTTAGTTATACACTAATTTTATATATAATTAAAAAAATATCAAGTCAATACAGATAGATGTCTAGTTTAATTTTTCCTATTCTCATATGTGGAGTTATACCAAATTGATCTCATGTTTTTTAGGCTTAAAAATAAAAATGAAAAAATCTACTCCAGTCCAACATGACAAATCGGTTCAATTCTAATATCTCTACTAATACCAACTTTACTAAAAAGGATAATCGATATTCTTAGACATGAACTAAGATATTTTAAAAACAAGTATTAATATATGATATATCACTACACTACCATACTCATAGAAATAATTACATTCCTGTATACCACTATTATATATATAGTAAAGTATTAAAAATAAATATTTAAAAGATAAACTGATAAAAAAAACTACAATTGTAATCTTTTATCTTTTCATACACTACAATTACATTAAAATTTGTAATTAAAATAGATTCTTCGTCATTACCGTTTTAAAGTTAATAATAAAAAAATATAGATTGAGAGATATGTAGTTCTTATTAAATGTGTTACTCATTAATTATATAAGTTCTCGTATCTTGATAATTGTAGATTCAAGTTTTCAAATTTTAGATAAGGGAAATATATATTTTTGTATTTATTGAATAGGATAAATATTCTTATTTAATTAATTTTTGTTATAATATATATATATATATATATACTTTAGATTTATAATAAATAATTTAAATTATAATATAAACACCATATCCTAGTACCCTAATCTACAATCACTATCATTGTCATTTCTAATAAATAGAATCATTTAATTAATACTTTCACAACAACACTCCTTAACGAGAAACGAAAAACAAAAAACAAAAAACAAAAGAGAAGCCAAACAACGAAGTAACGAAAGCCACTATCTGCATGAAGAACCAGCAGAACAACACAAGCCATCCTTCATAGCAGAATATAAAAATAAGAACTATATTAAAACCAAATAAACTAAGTTTCATAAAAGGTACTGCGTTGTCAATGAAACAAACAATAATTTAAAATTAAAAATAATTGGTAGCAAAGAAAACAAAATACTTTTTAGTTTTTAGTGCAATCGCTTATTGACACAAAAGTACTTTTCTGTATGCTCCAAATAAATTATGCAGTTAGCAAGTGACTATTTATTTAGAGAAACAAAAAGCAAAAGCCAGGTCAAACAAAAAAAGCATCAGAGGTCAGTATTAACTAAATCCACTATCTGTGGGAAAAACCAGCAGAACAACACAAGCCATAGACATCACTCCTACCAGAACATAAAATAAGAGCTTATTAAAATCAAATTTGCAAGCAAAAGTTGATAAAGGTACTATGTTGTCAATTAAAAAAATTATTTCAAACTTAAATATTATTTTTGGTAGTAACAAAATACTTTCTAATTGCAATTTGCAACTTGCAACTGTTCATTAACACAAAAGTACTTTTCTGTGTGCTCCAGTCAAACTATGCAATTTGCAAGTGACTGTTGTCTAGAAATATGGTAGCCAATGTTAAGTTATGCAATTTGCAAGTGACTGTTTTCTAGAAATATGGCAGCCAAATTTAAATTATGCAATTTGCAAGTGACTACGTGGAAAATTTGAATTTTAAGTATGTATTTGCATCCAATACTTGAAAGGAGAATCTTGCTTTCTGTCCGGCCAGGTTGAATTGCTTTAAGTGGAGAATAATCTTTATTTTTTATATCATTTTGTAAAGTTAACTTAGACTTATAATTCACTTTTTTTAATATGATATCAAAGTTTATCCTAATGATTATTAATTATTATTGAGTTTATTGTCTTACCCACTATCGAACCGTTATTGGACTACCTGAAAATGTGTTGAGTTCTCAATATAAAAGGTTATTTTGGAGATCTTACATCCACTAATAATATGACTATAATAATATATTTAAGTAGGGAATAATCCTCATTATAGAAACTAATTTTATAAGATTGAATTAGATTAATAGATCAATTTCTAAATAACAGATTACTATTATACGTGGAAAAAAATATGGGGGCAAATTCAGTAAGCTTAGTAGGCTGGTCCAAAAGGTTGTTTGCCTTTACAGAGCTGAACCATGTAGTTTAAAATATAGCTTAAAAGATTCACCATTCACCGTTCACCAAATCCAATCCTTTCTTTGTCTTCATTGTTGTGCCTCTATTCCACTATAGCTAATCTAGCTGTCCCTGTGTTATCTTATATTTGTTTTGAGTTCCAAGAATGTCATTGAAGCCCTTCTTGCTTCCTACTTCTCTTTCAACCCAAGTCCCATTCACCAACATATGGCTTCCTTTGGAGAACTCTCTGCCCAATATCCAACCCCAGAGAGGCCTAAACACGGAATCTCACAACACGAGAAAAAACCACTTGCTGCATACATCTGTCACGATCCAAAAAGCCTTGGTTCCTCTCAGCACAAGGCAGAGAGGGCCACAACACAAAGTGTGTCTTCTTCATCTCAGTTCAAAAGGGGTGGTTCAGCTTCAGAAAGATCAAATTCTAAGTCATTGGTGTCAGCAGATTCAAGAAGGGTAGGAGCCTTGATGGATGAAGCTGCCATAAGAGCAGTGATTGCTATCCTCAGTGGCTACATAGGAAGATATGTGAAAGATGATCATTTCAGGAAAATAATCAGAGAGAGGTGTAACACTTCCTTGAACAGAAGAAGAAGAAAGGATTCTGGTGATGAGAATTTTGTGAACATGGAACTGGGTATGAAGAAAGTTGATAGACTAATAGAAAGTCAAGGAATAAAGGACCAGGTGAGGATGATCAAACGGTTAAGGAATTGCATTGAGATTTTAACCATGGTTGCTAGTTTGAATTCTAAAACTTCCAGGGATGGTTCAACCTGTGGTGTATCAAATTCACATCTCTCAGCTTGTGCTCAACTATACTTGGCAATAGCTTACAAGCTGCAGAAAAATGACAGGGTCTCCTCTAAGCATTTACTTCAAGTGTTTTGTGATTCTCCAAGTTTGGCTAGAACCTACTTGCTTCCTGACCTTTGGGAACAATTGTTTCTTCCCCATCTTCTTCATATCAAAATTTGGTACACCACTGAGATTGAGTTCCTTTCAAATGAAGCTCATGGTGAGAAGGAAAAGAAAATGAAGCTGCTGAGCAAAGTTTACAATGAAAAAATGGCTACTGGGACTTTTCTGTTTGCTCAGTACTACAAGCAATGGCTTAAAGTTGGGGCTAGTGAGCCTCCTCTTCCTAATGTCTCTTTGCCATCAAGGACAAGTTACAGATCATCAAGAAGAAGGTCTTCAGATTCCTTTGTTTCAAATTCCTCAATCAACCCAAACTTGTAAGTGATATGATGAACATCTTACATTCACCACAACAACCATCTTTTTATTAGGAACAAATATATGCAATAATAGTTATGTATGTGATTTTATGTTTATGGTTCTTGACTCAGATACAAGACAGTGTTTGGCCCCAAACTAGAGCAGCAACCTACTGGTCTTGGTGACCAAAATGGAGTGTTGGCAATTACTACAGGCTTAGAGATTGATGAAAAGTTGTATGGAGATGAACACAAATGCAGTTCAGTTCAGGTTATTTTCTGGGCCTTCAATTCATAGATTTCAAAATCTAGAACTTCATTTCAGATATTAAACCTCCCTTTGTCACTGTTGACAGAAAGATGATAGGGCATTTGTTGGAAGGTCTAGCCAACTTGGCAAGAATCAAGCTCAATTATGGCCAACGTCTCAGAGAGTGGACTATTTTCAGTGCCTTTCTTGCAGGTTCATACCAAGGGAAAGCCTGGAGAACAGAAATCATAGATCCAGGAATGCTTCAACTGTTCTTTCAAGAGACTTTGTTGGAGCTATTACAACTATATGTTCATCAGATGTTCTAAACGAATGTGAATTCGCTATTCGTGTGGTTACCAAAGCTTGGTTGAACTCTCCGGGTGATCCTCAAATTGAAGAAGCACTGACACAATCTAGTGTAGTTGAAGCTATGCTTGAGGTGTTGTTTTCCTCAACTGAGGATGAGATCCTTGAATTGATTATATCAATTTTAGCAGAATTAATTGGAAGGAATGATGCAATTAGACAAATTATTCTGAATTCTGATCCTCAACTAGAAATATTTGTGAGGCTTCTAAGAAGCACTAGTCTGTTTCTCAAGGCTGCAGTTTTGCTTTATCTGTCAAAGCCAAAGGCAAAACAAATGCTATCTTCCGAATGGGTGCCACTGATACTTCGAGTGTTGGAATTTGGTGACAAATTGCAGACCCTCTTCACAGTACAATGCAGTCCTCAAGTTGCAGCATTTTATGTTTTAGACCAACTTCTTACCGGTTTTGATGAAGACAAAAACTTAGAAAATGCCAGGCAAGTTCTTTCACTTGGGGGATTGACACTACTAATGAGAAGAATTGAAGGAGAGGTTCATGAGAGAAACAATGCTGCTATGATAATTTCATGTTGCATTCGAGCCGAAGGAAGCTGTAGAAGTTTTCTAGCTGACAACATAAATAAGACTTCATTACTTGAACTCATTGTTCTTGGCAGTAAACAAAATTCCAGTGGCTATGCCTTGTCTGTGCTATCTGAGTTGCTCTACCTTGATAGGTATGTTCTCATCACTTAACTTTCTAGATAAATTTTTATTTATTCTTGATTATTTTTTCTATCTGAAAATGTTGAGAGGACTTTAAATTTCATACCAGAAGAACCAAGACTTCAAATTTCTTGAGAGGACTTAAAGATGGATGGGGTGGCATAAGCGTAATGCACATTTTCTTCGTTTACCTTAAGAAGACTTCACCAGAAGAACGCCCTATAGTTTCAGTGATATTGTTGCTGCTTGATCTTATGGTAATTCTTTTTCATTCAACTTAGTATTGCTTAGATGGAATTATTGGCTATGCTCAATGATCTAAGTTCTGTGACTTTCATTATTTTCAAAAGGATACCTTAGACCCTCTATTACATTAAATTGATTTACATTTCTTGAAGAGTTCACAAATGCAATAACAGTTGTGTTGCAGGAAGATCCTTTCAAGGGAAGCTTATATAGAGCAGAAGCAATAGAGGCATTTGTAGCAGCTTTAAATTGTCAAACATGTAATGATAGAGTTCAACAGCAATCAGCTCGAGCTCTACTCTTATTAGGAGGCCACTTTTCTCTTTCAGGGGAATCATTAATGGAAAAATCACTTTTACAAAAAGCAGGTTTTCAAGAAATTTGCTTAGAAGATCCATTTCCGGGCAAGGAAATTGTTGTTTATGACCCAATTCACAAGGTAAAATTTGGTTAAAATGTGTACTTTAATTAGAAAGCAATGTATGTGTGATGCTTAAATTGCTTGTGTTTTCTTCACATATGAGAGCATGTTTCTAGTAGTAGTGGTTTCTTTTTTTAGCACATAAAAATTATTGATTGGTTGTGTCACTGCCAGAATGTGGAAGACGAAGAAGCAGAAAGCTGGCAAAAAAGAGCAGCTTGTGTCTTGTTCAAAAGTGGAAATAAGAATTTAATTTTGGCACTTGCAGATTCCATAGCCAATGGCATCCCATATTTAGCAAGAGCAAGCCTCATAACTATTTCATGGATGAGCAGCTACCTCAACTTAGTTGATGATAAAAAGTTGCCACCAATGGTTTTCTCAATCTTAAGACCACATTTGCTACAATCCTTGAATTACGATAAAGATGTTGAGGAAAGA